GCTTTTTTTTTTTCCAACAATGGCTTCTATCATCCATTGTAAAAAGAATTTTCACTTTTGTTGACAAATTCTATACAAAACAAAGTCAAACGAATACTATTCGGTATGGTAATTTTTTCTAATTAATTTTTTTTTTTTTTACTTTTTGGTAATTGGAATAAATTCTGGACTCAATGATAGAAAAAATTATCACTTTAATGGACAATTAATTACAATTCTCAGTAAAACAAATTTTAGGCAATTCAGTGGAAAATTATACCAATCAAATAAAATTAATTACAATTCTCAGTAAAACAAATTCTAGGCAATTCAATTCCCAGTAAAACATTTTCTTTCAACTCATTTTCTACATTTGCAATTAAACGGACCCGTCTCAAATATTTGAGCAATTGTTTTCCTCGATGTCCACACAATGTAAAATACAAGTATCAAAAACCACAAATTTTTATTAAGGTGGTTATTTCACACTATATATTTTTATAAGTATACTACATTTTAATTATATTAAAACCATGTTTGGTAGAAATTAAAATCAAGATTTTAATTCAAGTTAAAATCAATAATTAATTTTAACATTTCATTTGATTCATAACTTTTCAATAACATATTTCATCAACTTCTATCAAAATTTACTAAAAATCTAATTTTAATCCCCAACAAACAAGGAATGAATGTCTTAAATCTTACTAATTATACATTTAGATACTTTTTCCACCATTGTTATCTTTAACATTTTACTATCTAGCAAATCTTCTTAATCATGATTTTCTTCCAACATCAACGTTAGTGTGCTTTAACTAGGAACAATTATTTAATATTATTTTTGTATTATTTTTGTTTATTTAAAAATACGACGGACAAATAAGTCCTTTTTGCTCAATTTTAAAGAATTTTTTGATTGAATAATAATGTGGGGATTAAGAAAAATTATTATTTTAGATGACTTATTAATTTATAGAGCATTTTATATTTTTATAACTTGTATTATATTTTTCTATAATGCATGCAACACACAAAAAGGCGCGCACACACATACATTAAAGAGGAAACATTATCGAACATTGCTTCAAAATTTAGTAACTTAAAATATTAATCGTTCGACTTATTTCACGTGTACATGAAATAAAATTTTTACAGTAACTAGCTTTAACTTAAGACTTCCAATCATTCCAAATTTTATACATTTTTTCTACTATGATGTCTCATTTGAAATGAGTTTAAAAAATTGCAAGATTTAGTCAAATGAAGATATTAATGTTGAACCAAAAGTTAATGAAAATAAAGGAATCAACGGACTGTGTGAAGTTATTTTTGGTCTACGCTATAGAAATGTGAGGAATGTCGAACACCTTTTAAACTATTCTAGTGAGAATGATGTGATGATGAAATCTTATACTAATGAATATATTATTCAAGGGGTACTCAATACACCTATCAATGATGATCATAATCTAGATGGTAATTGTGTTTTACCAATTGTTTCTTCAAAAGATGCATTTCAAGCAGTCATAAACTTACATAATTAATTTATACAAAATAAAAAAGAATATGTCAAATGTAGTATGTGCTTTGCAAAAAAGTAAGAATGAAGTTGAGTTTGATTTTGGTACAAAGAAAAAAATAAAAGACTTTAGATGCATATTTTGAAAAAGAGATAAATTGAAAAAAAATATATTGTCAAATTAAGTTTATTAATTTGTATTAGTATATACTTTTATGAATTTAGCATTTATTATTTTATATATTTTTTAGGCCTTAAAATATATCAAAAAAATATTATCTCATGCATTTAACGGATTATTAATTTAGCTCATGTTTGGTAAAAATAAAAATAAGATTTTTAACAGTTTTTGATAAAAATTAATTAAATGTATTATTGAAAAGTTGTGAATCTTATAAAATATGTGGTTAAAATTAAATGTTGATTTTGACTTGAAATTTTAATTGAATTTTAATCCAAACCAAATTGGGGTTTTAGTACATTGGTTCAAGTTGAGACCGAAAATATTTATTAAGTGAGATTATCAACTTATCGAACATTCATTTTTCGAAGTTTTATTGTATCAAAGACAATTTGTGCTAATATGAGAATGAGAATTTGATGGAAAAAATTAGAAATATAAATTTAATAATTAGTAAAGGTTATGAACCTTTTTTTAAGTCAAATGTAGTGCAATTATTAAAAAATATAGTGTGAATATATCTAGCCTATTATCGCTGATCCAAAAAAAAAATATCATCCATGAGTTGAACCTATCTACAAACTCTTCAAGCACTCCTTGCAATTTTCTTTAAGAACTTCGTACAAGTACTAACTCTAGAGAGCTGCTGTATGGCCATGTGGCACCCTTGGATGGTTAGGTCCCATGTGACCCTGGCCAAGCAGGTTTGATCCTGACTTGAGCATTTAAAGTATAATTAATGGTGGAAATTAGAATATCCTCATTTTGTTACCTTCTACTTATTTAATTAAATCGGATTATAGTAAAAAATTTCGTATAAACGTTTTTATTTGCGACAACCCTACCTATTAGGGCTGGACATGGTCCGATTCGATTCCGTTCTCTTCAGAACCGAATCGAACCAAAATTTTCGGGTATTTGATAAATGGAACAGTCGGGTCCAAATATAATTATGAAATCGTTCGAGTTTGGTTCGGTTTCGTACCATAATCAAATTTTTTAACATATTCTAATGGTAAACTATCATTGGTCGTGGTTGGAAGTCGCGACTTCGATGGACAGTTGGAGGGGGGAAGTCGAACTTGGCAGTCGGCGTTTTCGATTTGGGCATGTAGATGTAGATCAACGATCGGTGGTCGTGGTCAGATGTTGCAGCTTCGATGAGTAGTTGGAGAGGGAAAGTCGGATTCGACAGTCGGCGACTTCGATTTGGGCATGTAGATGTAGGTTTTCAATTTATCAAATGATTTGGGGTCAGTGACTCAGTGATTATCGAATGAAAATGTGAAATTAGAAAGAAAAAGATAAAAACTTAAAAATGTCTAGATCTTGGATTAAGAATGAAATTAATAATAAAACAAAAAAATTAAATCAAAAAATTGAATTTAGAAATTGGGTTGTGTTAGTTAGACATGGAATTGGCTTAAAAGTTTTAGAACATTAATCACTAAATTAGTTAAATTTATAATTTGTTTAGAAAAAATTTAAAAAAATTAATTAATTCAATATAAAAATTTTTAAAAAATATTTAAATTCGGTTCTTATTCGATTTTTCGGTTCTGGGTCTAGAACCGAACCAAACCCGTCGATTCTCGATTCAAATACTCGTTCGGGTATTTAACTTATGAAAAATCACTCGATTCGGTTCGGGAGTTTTGTCCACCTTTACTACCTATTGAAAATCACATATAACCCCTTTCAAACATAAAACCCCTTATTTGAAACCTTTGTGCGAACCCCACCACCCACCGTCATATTTTTCGTTAAAAAAAAGTAGAAATGTCAAAATAAAAATGTAGTAATTGCAATTTTAGTGTTCAAACTTTTTATTCTTTTACAAATTATACCCAATTTTTTTTTGTACCACCCACAATCCCAAACTTTTAAAACTTTATTTTCCACCCCTCGACACCTTCGGCACTTTAATTGCCCGTTCCAAAACAGACGCCGCCTCCTCCAACTTCCCCAAAACCCGGCATTTTCGCAAAACAATTTGAGAAAATGCAAGCTGAACTACAAATGTATATAAGAGAGAATTGGTAATCAAGAAAGGGATTAGAGAAGGATTAATGGAGATTAATGGGGTTTAATTACTTAATTAATAAGATTAATACATGGCACCATTCTCAATTAGTAAGTGTGTTAGAGAGAGGTAATCTCAAGCTTAGTGAGAGAAAATCCCATTTGGTTGCCCGTTTGCTTTAAGATTTCTTGTATTCTAGCTATGATTTCATCGCCTCTTGGGTGTTTTCAAGTCTAAATCTTTATTTTCTGAAGTGCACTGAGATTTAGTGCATTTGTTGGTGTGTTTATTGGTGAATTTTTAAGATTTAGAAGTTGGTGTTCTGGGCCAATTCGGTTGTACAGTTTTAGCTTTGGGTGACACGTCTGGTCTGCAATTCTAGTTTCAGATTGGGTTTGTTGGTCAGTTTTCTATTTATATAGAATGGTAAAGGGGCCCTATATCATCATCGACCATAGAAATGAAATGAAAGGTTAATCCTTACCAACTTGATCTTGTTGCTTCTGGCAACAAACATGCATGACAAAGGCTCGTTTTAGTTCAGGCAGGCTCATCTAGTTTGGTCTCAAGTCAGTTTTTCATTTCTGATTCTGGGATTCTGTGTTCAGCTTCTTTTTTGGTGTTCATCCACCTATTGTGTTCGCATACAGCTAGTTTGGTGTTCAGCTTTTGGGTCAGCTTCCTGTGGTATGGGTTGGCCAAATTTCTGCTGCTTTTGGTGGTTCCGTCTAGCACAGGTCAGCTTCCAGTTTGGTTGTTTTTTAGCATCCAAAATTAATGGAGTTTACATGTTGTGGCGGTGATTGACTGCAGTTTGGGGAGGTTTAAGGAGGCGGCATCTGTTTTTGAACGGGCATTTAAAGTGCCGGAGGTGTTGAGTGGTGGAAAATAAAGTTTTAGAAGTTTGGAATTGTGGGTGGTGTATAAAAAAAATTTGGGTATAATTTGTAAAATAATAAAAAGTTTGGATACTAAAATTGCAATTATTATTTTTTCATTTTGACATTTATACTTTTTAACGGAAAACATCAACATTAATTGTTTATTCAAAATTCCGAAGAAACGGTAGTTTATTTATTGATAAATCAAGTCACGACTATAACATTTTAGGAAAAGAAACAAATATAAGGAACCAACAAAATGAAAAACAAGAACCAAACATAGAACAAGAAAAGAAGAAAACAGCTGATCCCACATGAAATTCATACATCTTTAATGGACCCCACTGTATAAAATCAAGCAGAGTTCATCTCCATTTGTTCCCAGCAACTTGTAGAATCGATCCCAATGCAAAAATAACAAAGGCAGCAATCTGTTTGAATCTTTTTCATGGAACCAAATCTGCAAGGCGTTGATCAAATTCTCATGATTCCTTCATCTGATGATCTGAAACTTTGGTTTACAGTGTCTGCATGATCTGCAAACAGATTCAAGAGAAAAAAAATGATTAGTTGGGTTATAAAATAATTTAGTTCTCGATTACATGGCAAATTTTATAGTTGTTGCTTACTATTTGAAGTTCTGGAAATGAAAAAGCAAGCCCCAATTACTATGTAACATAGCAGAAGAACTAGTCCTTTTAGGTAATGAGAAGTTCCGTCCTGCAAGATTCGCACACGTGTTAATTTGAAGATATATACGTAAATAAATACCAAAATTTTATAGACAAGTTAACTGTTCAATATCAAACAAATGTCGATTTGTAAAATCTGGTTATCAATTCATCGTGTGAAGATTAATTACCTGTAAAGTGAATGTTGTGATGATAATTGATAGAGCGAGACAGCTTGTTTCAATGAGATTGAAGTCGAGGTTCATGTCTATACCGATTATCCAGGCCACAATGGCGCTCAAGGGAATCTGATTATTTCAAAAATAATTAGAAACATTACTTAATTAATCTTCAGTAAGCACACCAGTGTACCTCAGGATTGTAATTGATTAAGGTTCTTACCACAAAAATGGCAATTTGAGTTGCCGAACCCAAAGCTACGCCCAAAGTAATATCCTGTCCAGAAAATTCTCTTCTTAGACTTCGCAAGTTAAGTAGATAAGACAAAGAAAAACACGAAAAAAGAAAGAATGACGACACTTTTTTTGCATAGTTGCTTTTCTTTTTCTTCTCCTTCAATTTCAAGACTAACCGCATTCTAGTTAGAATCGTCTTCAAATTGTTCGTTTGAAAAATAAAAAACCAGTCCTCCATGACTTACCAGCTTGTTCTTAAAGGCAAATATGATAGCCCCAGCATGTTCTGCTGCATTTCCAACTATTGGTAGTAAAATTACGCTGATGAAACTGACTGATAATCCCCAAGAGTCTGATGCAGCCTGTTGCAGAAAATGCCATAAACGCAAAATTATTTAGATCCCAATAAACTCTCAAATTATCTATCTTTAATAATAGTTGAAAATTCACCTCAATTGTGCCCACAACATATTCAGAAAGTAGGGCTATGACTGCAGTCATCAGAACTAGCCAAACAAATGCACTCCAGAATCCAATCACGGGTGATTCGTCTGATACTACGTCACTATCTTCTCCTTCGTCCTGATAATTTCCACCAACATAAGTTCGTCTAAAGATACTACAATAGAGTCAAGATCTCTATAGACGACCCTATCAAACATCTTTTATAGGTACGTTTTACATGGCCTAAAGCAGGTAGTTATTTTGCAACACGAGTTAAATAGGATAGGCTAACTTTTTGAACGGGAAAAAACTTCCAAATTTCTCACCTCAGATGCCTCAAATAGTTGTCGATGAGTCCATAACTGGAACACAATGTAAGAAATGTACGCAATCAACATCACAATGCAACTGGCTCTTGACAATGCAAGGGATTCTGTCCCTGTCAATTCCGCTGCATTTCCAGCATATCGAAACATCAAGGGCAGAACATGGCAAAGCAATCCCAAAAACAAAAGGATTGCGTTCACATCTGCTTGTTTCTGTTACAGTTCAACGCAGATCATTATACGAGAATTCGATTTTCAGACTAGAAATTTGCACAATTAATGGAAGTAAAACGTCTTACTCTATCGAACTTCTGTTCCTTTCCGATATTTGCAATGCCACCACAGAAAAGAGAGGTGCCAAGAACCAAAAGAAGGTTTGAAAGTATAGAACCAAGTAGACTGTATTTCACTACATCTACTTTGTGCCGAACAAGAGCAAGTATGGATATTATCAGCTCTGTAGCATTTCCACATGTAGCATTTAGAAGCCCTCCAACTGCAAAAATGTCCGCAACAAGATCAAAAAATGGATTTCAACCCGTAACGAAAGAACAAAATGACAAATTAAGCTTTATTCTCGAGAATTTATACTAAGCACCATGAACCATTTTTTTCACCACTCTATTCGATTCATTGCTACTGTACTGTATTTAATCTAATTTTTATTTTTTAAAAAAATAAATCTTGATTCTTCCATTATTTTGATTTTTTCTGAGCTTTTGCACACCACTAAAGTAATGCCTGCCCTATCAACATTTTGGTACAGATTTTGGACCTATTCCATCATAAAAAATAGAATGATTTTGAACACTATCACATAAAAAAATAATGAATGAAAATGGATTAATTACCTGTTGGACCTGTGTAGAAAGCGATTTGCCTGCATAAATTAATAAGAATCAAAGATGAGAGGATAATTTAAAGATCATGATTATATTATTTATTAGAAAATTAGAAAAGATTAATTGTTAATTAAAAAACTCTTACTCTGTCAAGAAGCTGACACGTTCAGCAAGCGGAGTGAGCCCAAGTAAACTCAAAACGAACACCCATGACTGTTCAAAAAATAAAATAAGAATGCTGTGATGAATGATCGACGAGTTCTAATTAATGCAAGAAAGGTAAGATTTAGAAACAAAAAAAAATATTAATTATATGTACAAAATTCTCAATCAACTATGTTTTTAGCAATAAATTCGTGAGGTAAGACAAATTTTCAGGTGGTTTGTCATAAATGGGTGATTAATTTTGACTTATTTCGAATAAATATGGGGTGCCCTCAATTGAGATAACGATGGATAATAAAAATTCTTCTAAATTTAAGTATTCTCAATTGAGATTTTAACGAATTTTAATGAAATTCATGAAAATTTAGATATTACCAATTGAGATTTTAATTAAATTATGTAAAAGTTAGGTATGCTCATAAAGATTTCAATAAAAGGGGATTTTAAAAGATATTGGTGGGAATTAAAATTAAATTTTTAGTAGATTGTGATAGAAGTTTTTGAAATGTGTGGTTGAAAAGTTGTGGAATCATGAAAGATGTGGTTATTATCGATTGTTTGACTTTGACTTAGATTAAAATCAAATTTTAATCCAAAACAAACAGGCTTATAACCAAATATTTTAAAATTTCAGCATATTTGACGAGATTCTTATAAAATTTGTGGAAATATATTCAAATTCAGGAAATCAATTAGGATTTATAATATTTTAAAATTCATCAAGATCTTAGTTGAGGGCACCTTGGTACTTTAGCACTAAATTAGAAAAAGAAAAAAAATTAAAAGATAGAAGAAACTGTTGGAAATTCTTCGAAATATGGTTCTGTTGAAAAATGAAAACTCTAACAAGAGAATAGAGAAATGATGGCACCCAAATTTTCGATTTGGAAGATAAATTTATCATGGACATGGCATATCAGACGAGGAAAAGGTTACGTTGAATACCATGTACAAGAAACAAGAGAAAACATAGAAATTAACGAAAAAGAAATTACTCACTCTCCCAAAATTTTTACACTCAGCAGCGATGGCAAAAGGAATTGCCAGAAACAAAATCGATATCTTTGTTCCCAACAAAACCTCTTGCAGATTAACCAAAATATTTCGAAGAGATCCTTGTCGAACTTTGGAAACAAGGGTTAGGTCGGATTTTTTTCGCAGAGACGAAGAGGACATGTTATGCGCAGTCCGACCGTGGCTGTGGCCATGGCCGTGCTTCATGTCCTTGGTCAGGCACCTAACGCTTCCGTTCTCCAGTAGCCATGGTTCAGTAGAAGCCATTTTTCTCTCTCTAGAAGGAGAAAACAAAGTTTATAACTCTACACTAACAATGCCAAACCTTAGCAAGATATTTGTGCATGCAGTAATGAATCTTTGTTTNCCCGTGAGTAAAAAAATTGATTTTTCCCCAAAAATATGTCACCTATATTTCTGTCTTAGAGAAGAAGAGAAAAATTTATTTAGAAACTTTAATGTTATATAGTTTTTGTGTTCATTACATTCATGGCATGTTGTAAGTTTTTTTTTTTTTTTGGGAGGCATAAACTCAAACCAATATTACCCTGGAATACAATTAATCCAGCTATGAGAAGTTGGGATAGTAGTAACAAAAAACCAAACTTATGGACCGCCATATTCTTTGTACGAGAGATATGTATACCGACATGAAAATAACACTCACTTCGATTATTTGTTCACAAATATCTTGCAAGATCCAAGCATTCTATGCCAAAAGTAAAACAAGTTTACTTTGACGTTTGAACTACTAATAGTTTTATTCAGTGTTCTAAAAAGCGTAAAGCGTTGCATAGCGTCGAGGTCGAGAATCAAGAATCACAAGTTTAAACGTGTCAATGCGGAGAACAAGCGTCATAACGCGTTTAGTACTTTTAATATTATTTTAAGTATAATAAATAGATTTTTATATTAAAAAAATAATTTTTTTTATATAAAATAAACATACACATGTACTGTTCTAAATAGCAGGAAAAAGCGCCGCTATAGCGCGATAAGGCGGGAAAAAGCCCGCTATAGTGCGCTTAATCGCGCAATGTGCCGCTATAGCTCGCTAAAGCGGTCAACAAAAAAGTTTGACCGCTATTTTACTCGCATATCACAAAAGCGTCGCGTTTTCTCCACGCTCTACGCTATATCGCGCTATAGCAACGCTTTTTCTCGCTATTTAGAACACTGGTTTTATTCAACATGAATAAGAAGACGATAAATAGAATTACTTATTTTTAAAGTAATTTACTATAAAATAAATAATCTTTTACATATAGCTAATTGAAGTATATCCAAATACAAAACTTTACTCAGAATTAAGTTTTACTTTTTTTTTTCCTTCAACTTTTCAAGAGCAAATTACACAAAGGTTTATGACAACTACAGGGAACTCCCCCTCTATTTTTAAAATTTTCCAAAACCTGCCTAAAGGTTTACTTTTGGTAACATATTCCCCTTGTCATCAAAGGTAAATATTCTATTTTACCCTATATAATATTTTAGAATTACTAAATTATGATATTTTAAAATTATACTTTTCTTTCTTATTATTATTAAGATATATTTTTTCATACTTTTGATTTAGATGAGACTACTTTAGTTTTTAAAAAAACTATCAGTACAAATATTGTTATAAAATTTAAAAATATTAAAATTGAATTTGTAATATTTTTTGCGATTGATATATAATTAGCAACATAAAATTGATTTAATTTAATAAAACTAATTAAAAATTCATTACATATTTTATATTTCTAGATTTAGTAGCATGTTCTCTAATATAATTTTTTTATATATAATTTTCACATTTATATTATATTAATATTAGAAAACTAAAGTAATATTATTGTATTTTAATGCAAAATGTTAGCATCAAAAGTTTATAAGCTAGATTTCTTTCAACCCCTGTTTGAGCCCATTTTTGGGGGAAAATATATTTTGAAATAGTGATTTTGTGGAGAATGTGCGGTTAAAAAATAAAGAAAAAATTTGAATTTACATATAAAATTATTTTATGAGAGAATTTATATTTGAAAATGAGTTTTTGAAAAAAAAAAATGGAAATCAAGCATATGCTTATAGTTCAAGTTTGCATTAAACTATTTAGTTCAATTTTAAGTTGTTCATTTTTTTTAATGAAAGTCACTATTCACAAAAATATAACTAAGATTAAATAAAATTGTACAAAAAAAATGAAGTTTTAAAATTAAAACAGTTTATTTTTATCTAAATTAAAATTTAGAAAAAAGAAAAAGAAAATACTATAAGTATATATAGAACATAAGAAGAGAATGGCAAAACGAAAAATTTATGTTAAGAGGGAAGATTTGTGAAAACTTATGATTGGCAAAACCTCATACGAGGCCTTTGTAATTTACTCTGGTTTCAATTATTTAAAAAAAAAAAAAAAATCAACCTTCCATTAATTAGTACATATCGTCCTTGATGATAATTTAAGTCAGAATAATGTTATCACAACCGGTGATAATCACATGTTTAGATGCATAACAGCAATTAATTACTCTTTTGCGTGACATATTAATAATTCAAGAATTATGTATTGACAAACTTTTAGCTCGAATAATCTTTAATTTATGTAAACAAGAAAATGAATTTAATCACAATTTAAACATGAAACATTAAAAAATCATTATTTGTCGAACTGAGGTTAGGCAAATTGATCAAAACCTAACTTCTTTGTCCCGATTACCAAACCAAACCATCTCCATCTTTGATAGTAACGCTTAATGCGCCACTAAGCATAGAACAATATTCGCGTACGGTTCTTGTACGACGATGAAGCTTCCTAGAAATTTCTTACAAGTACAAACATAAACGAAATCAATTTTATCACAAAAGAGAAACCAACAAATTGATCTTTATCTTAGGTCCATTTTTGCAATCAATTTTTGAAATATTAGAGATCTTGAGGAGATGATAATAGATTGATGAATTGACAAGTTCAGCCTTTGTGTATATGTATCATTGTGACTAGAATCTAATAAAATCCTGACGAACTAATCCATCGAAATGATTTAAATGAAGTTTTCTAGTCTAACATATCTTTTAAAGAACTGATTAATAGGATGAGAATAAAGATAGTCACATTCTACATCTCAATACTGGTAGATTTTTTTTCCCATCTTTCTATAGTGAAAATAGTCACACATAATGACGGATCGCGGCCACATTATTAAAAGCCTCGGGTAAAAATGAGTTTAGTTATAGTGCTCAAAAATAATATTCCAGAAAGCCGAGCATACTTCGGAAGAAGCTTGTACGGTTTGAAAAGGGGTTTTGATTGATCAGTACATGTTTGGTTGAGGGTAAAATATACTTATAAGTAAATGAACTTCAAAATATGACCAACTTAAGAGATATTGACAAGTGGTCCATATATGCCATGACCAAGTTGCCAATTTTCTTTTGAGTAATGTTATTCATCCCCAGTGAGGATGAAAACACACAATTTATGTGATTTTAAATAATAGGTTAAATGAAATGTGAAATTAAATAAGTCATTTAATTTCACCTATCATTTAATGCCGCATTAACGCTACGTAGACTGTATTTTCATTGCCAGTGGGATGAATAGTATTACTCTTTTCTTTTACTTAATTTAACCAAGATATTCTCTATCTGGAGGGTTTTTAGGCCTACTCGCAGATATGATCATTAATAATTTTCCGTTACAAAGGCTTAGTTTGGGAAACATTTTTAGAAAATTAATGTTACTCCTACAGACAAACTTCAATTTCAACTAATGCATTCAAAATTAGTAATACTAATTATTATCCCCACATTTAGTGGACCCCTCACTACTCCTAAAAAATCATCAAAAGTTACTAATAATCTTTCCTGACGGGGCAAATATTAGCCTCACAAATTTATAGATAATTTATAAAGAGGAATAATGAATCTTACGAAATGAATATATAATAATAATAATTATGAATGTTTGGTTGAGATTAATATTTGATGTTAACCAAATTTATAAATCATTTATAAATTTATTTCCAAAGAGAGGCTTACACTTTCTGTACGGGATTTATTTTCCTCTGTCCATAAATGTAAGATAAATTTATCAAACACTACGATAAATAATTTTTTTATCATAGACCAAAAAAAAATATCATCCATGATGTTCAACCAAACAAGACTATCCCACATGACCTCCTACAAACTCTTCAAGTACTCCTTGTTAAAACATTTTCTTTATGAACTTAGTACGATGAGCATCAAATACAATGGAAGAATTCACTGAGAAATATAAAATGAAAATGAAAAATCCCTACCACCCAAGAGGGGCCAATTTATGAATATTTTATGTCTGTTTGGTACAGCCACAGAGTCAGATAAGCCCATCTTACATCGAATAATTGATCAATGCAAAACTATATAGCGAGTTCCATCTTTCATATCATCCAAGAGTCCAAGCCTTATCCCTATCAAGAAGACGACACATAACAGAGCCCTACTCATAATTCTGCCAAATATAGGTTGCTTCCAGGAAGATTCATATTTCCCTTTCGGAAGGTATGGACAGTTAACAAGTTCAACGTAAACATTATGATGATGATGATGAACACCCATAACCGGTAAACAAGATAACTTATATTAAGTTTTTGAAACACAGTCACCAAAAAAATTTCGTCTCAATTGACAAAATGACAAAGACGGGAACATCCTCAGCATGTTCGGCGTGCTTAAACTTATTTTTCTAGTAAAAAAAGTAACTTCGAAAATCATTTTCGGTAAAATAAGTGTAAACATGCTCACCAGAGAAATACAAACACCAATAGTATCAATTGCACAACTGATGGCTTTTTCACGGATGAGCATATGCAACCCTATGTAGTTTATAAAACCGTACGTAAAGAGGAGTGATGTAACAGATTTATGGGTTTTTTAAGTTACGTGCGACTGACGATATCACTGCTTGTAGAAGAGGGTAGATAGGTAAAAAATCGGTTTGGACTTTTACTTGTTAGCTTCATTCCAAAACTACATTGTACATGCCATGTGATCATCTACATCAGCCGATGGGACTGCAAACTGCAAAACAAGCACAGGCTATTTCCACGAAGTTTCTTAAAAACAGACCAAAGCCCGCAATGGCACGTCATACAAAAATGGGCGAACACATTTAAGCAATTTTGAATATGTGCCACACAATTTTCTGTGCCTAAAAATTGCTGTACGATATCGGAATTCAATACTATACACACACTTTGGGTCCATCACATGTTTCTCTTTTGCCGTTTCAACCCAAGTTTTGGCAGTAGACAGCAATTCCCATTTTTATTATTAAAAAGGTTGATTCTCTAGCATCCAGTAAAGTGACTGCCAGACCAACTTTGACCAGAAATTCATTCAGCAAATGTATTATGACGAATTGAATTGAAAATAGACAAAGCATACATCAGCGTATAACACAGTTATGTCATTGCACTACAATGAAGACGGTGACAGGCATCTAATAAACTATGCAAGTGATAGTAATACCTAACATCCTAATAAATTTAGAGAAATCTTCATCAAGCAGATATAGAAAATATTTTTAAAAAAATTACCAGCTTCCGAGGGAGGTGGCTTGGTCTGGCTGATTTCAATTCATAAGAATTTTGGCCTCATGGTCTAATATGCACTGAAGAATAGCCAAGATTACGAAATATTTATGCTGGATAATTGAAATTTGTTACTCTAGGGCCTAGGCTTTATGCAGTATACTCGAGATCCTAGATGATGGACCTCGAGACCAGCTTCTTCACACCCAGCGAAGAAGAGAGACTCGTCCTCTTTCCCAATCCTGCGTCTCCAACTCATTAGAAATGCTGGTCGGGGAAGTGGGCATGCATCTGAAACAGAAGCTACGTAAGGATTTAACAACTATTGGCATGATTGGTAGGAAAAAATGGATAGTACTGGACATTATCAAAGAAGATAATGAAGTTTAAATCTTGTTCATTATATTGTACATCTTTTCCACTACCGCATACCAAACATACACTATAAGTTTAGCAAAACAGACTAGCAAACCAAGGAAAGTACCATTCTGCTCATCATTCTTTCCAGAAACTGCCTCACTAGCTTTTGGCTTGTAAGATTTTAGGAGAAATGACAAGGTGTTTATGAGGTTTCCATATTGTTTAACATCTGCATGTAACATGAAGGACACAAGTGTTAGAAAAACGTGTATAACATATGTAAGGGAGAAGAAGCAGTGATTCTCTCTATTTTCTTTTCAGTCATTTCCTAGAAGGAATAATTATAAAAGAGTCATGCTATGTGTACATAGATGTACATATAGAGGTTCACATAATGTGAGTGGGGTGAGGCCCATGCTACAGTATCGTGGGCCCCACCCCACTCACATTATGTGAACCTGTATGTGTACATCCATGTACACATAGATTAATCCATTATAAAATGACGACAATACTAAAAGCAAGACCCAGTCAATCCAAGTTTTGGATGTATATTGGTTGTTTTTGGTACTTTCCCTGGCCGGTAGTTTAGAACACAATTCATAATTGCATTGCACTTGTGGCATTTTCAAGAAAATTTTCCTTATATTTTAATTAGGATACAGCGTTTATCTGTGTTTAAGATTATTATTGTTTGCAAAACTCTGCAATTTCTCTTGCGTCATGGAACTCGTCCTAAGAATTCGTGACTTAAGCTAATGGCATCAACTTTCCACCTCCATGCACCAGAATAGATTCATGATCTCCACTGCTTAAGACCCATCTTTATAGTAGCAATCAGGACAAGTACAACCCAGCCAGCTAAACACGGAGTACCCACACAAGGCATTATTTCTAAAAATGATTCACTTCCCCAATTTCGACTGATACCGCATAAAGACATCTAGAGAGATGGCTTCCAGGCACCTGACCCAACTCAATGCCATTGAGATAAACCATGAGGACACCCAAATGATTGGGTAGGAAATCGATATTTAAACTATTGCTTAAAAAGCGCCTTTCAAATTTCGGGAACTCATACTTCATTTAAGCTATATCATAATATTTATTAACTTCATATATATTTTTATCAGCTTGGCATCTGTTAAAGCATAGAAGGGATATTATATAAGAATTCCTAGTCAATGTCGAGGAATGTTTTCCATGTTTTTTATGAGAAACCGAAGATGACATAATAAGAATGAGATCATCTGTAAGGTTAAAAAGTTGGTTCTAGAAAACAGTGATTACACTTCTTGTGCTTTATGGTAACAAAATGTTGAGCTGTTAGGAATGATATAAGATGAAACATAGCAAAAATGAAGATGATAAGATGGGAACCAGGTTGTACTAGAACTGATAATATACATCAAGTAAAATGGCGCAGATTGACGATAAATTAACAGAATGGCGACTTAGATAATTAGGACACATTATGTGTGGACCTAAAGAGTCATACGATGATGTAATGTCACTAGAACAAGTTAGAACTCGATGGGATGGAGCAAACTAACATATGGCCCGTTTTAGTTGCTAAGAATATAGTTTGTTTGGTTCTTCCAGTACAAGTAGCAATGATCCACACGGAGAAAAAAGGTTCCCGTAGCTGACCCCAAATTTTTTGAGGATAAAATATAGTTTGTTGTCTGTTTGTTTGGTGAAGAAGCACTAGTTTAATCCTTGCTATAAACTAATATGAAAAATGCATGTTTCACAGCAGACTGTAGCCCAGTGTGCAACATGGGCAAAAATAGAAATTCCACTACTTTATAAACTTGGTCCAAATTTTTTAGCTTTATTTAATAAAATTAGCCCCAAGAGTCAATGTCCAAGCCAAATCAAACTTTTAGCCCACCCTAAAATCTAATCCTATATGGTACTCGATTGGGTTGGGGCAACAAACAAGGTACCTGATAGACATTAAAATTACTTCTCAAAGCAACCGGAAAGCATATGCATATCTATATTCAGTGTGGAATATTTATCCAATGTGGAAATGCCAATCTGAAATGTGTACTTACACAACAAAATATCACTTGCAATAATCAGGTCCCAACATGGATCAGATATGGGAAAGGCATCTCCCCAGGTATCTGAAAAAATAATGATTCAATCTATGATCTATATTATACTCAGTTTCATGAAATGAAGACAAAGTGCAAGAGAGCTTACGTTTTATGTGAGGAAGGACAGGAGTAACTCCATTTATTTGGCAATTATGAACTATGTTCTCCTCAATTTCCGCATCATCGTAGTCAGATGTTGTAATGTCAAGTTGAAAAGATTTGTGCAGAAAGATGGCCAAAGCTCCAGTTCCACTAAACTCAGAAAGTAAAAAACAGAATGCTAAGGAAACAATGACTCGACCATCTGGGTGACATAGTAAGGGCAAAGGTCCTTTAGAGAATCAAAACTCTATATTATAGGCAAAGCAGAGTTGCATATTGATATCTGGCCTAAAAAGATAGGCATGTAATGCATTATGTGGCCTACAGCACAAATACAATTTATGGTAGAATGATAAATAAGCAATCACGTCTATATATAAGACGCCGATTTTAGTTTTCTTTGTACAGGTTCAAAAAAGAGTCCTAGGTGTAAAGTCCAAAATTTTAATTTAATTTTTACAAAATAGTGTATCTAGAAAAGAAAAACTAAAAGATATTGGCATTAGATTCTGAAAGTAACAAGAAAAGAAACATTAGGAATAACTAAGTTTCAGGGAATCAAAGACCTGTAGATAATTCATTACTCCGTCAATGAATATTTATGCAAGTATGCTAGTGGATAGAAGAGATTGTCAAATGTTTGTGGATATTATAGAAATAAGAGCAATTACTCCAGGGATGTCTCAATTTACCTCCCAAAGTGTGACGGATTAAATCATTATAGATCAAATATGAATTCTGTAAATATAAGAAGTGAAATAGGAAAAAAGGGGATTGGGTTATCCGAGGACTTAAAAACAGAAGTACTATCTAATACCTGCCCAATTCAATTGTTCTCCGTCCATCTATCCACGATCTATGTTGAACCAACCATTCAACAAATGAAAATGTGCCAGGCCACAATAAATTAGCATTCACCTGATGAAAAGAAAATTCTCGGACGAGCAATTCCTGCATACAAGCCAAAATGTACAGATAAGACTAAAGGAAATGATTGGCTATGAACATTAAGGAAAACAATGGCGCTGGATGTTAAACTAATTATTGGCATCCAAACTTGGCAAAAGAAACTATTATAGTTTCAAGTGTTAATATGATTCAGTATCTTGACACTACCCTTAAACCTCTTGAAGAGATCAATCAAACCATGTATTGGCCCTGAATCAATTGGTCCAATTCCAAATCGTATCTCATGGTGCTGTCAAATAATTAAAAGAATCCATGCAGAATCTTGAACAACACCAAGATTGCCTTCTTCATACTCTATACGCTTATATATCTACATAATACTACATTTTACGGAAACGCCAAGACAGTTCTTGTAATCTAAGTTAAAACCATAGGGATGGCAACGGACGGGACGGGACGGGGCGGGGCGGGGCGGGGGGTCGGGGCTCCTAGCTAAGAAATTCTCCGCCCCGTTACCTGTTTAAGGCGGGGCCTTTCCCAGTTTAAATTTTTTTTAGTTTTTGATAATTTATTTTTATTATTCATATTCATTAAATTTAGACAAATAATTTTAATTGCTATTTTCTATTAGAACTAATGAAAATTTTCATTTAAAGTATTGAATTAAAAAAAAAAAAATTTAAACGGGGCGGGGCGGGAACCCCGTTACCCGTCCCCTCCCCGAACCCGGGGAAAAATTCCCTGCCCCGTTACCCGTTTAAGCGGGTTTTCCCACCCCGTTCGGGGCGGGTGCGGGTATTGGATTTGTCGGATTGTTTTGCCATCCCTGTAAAACCACTAATCCATCAAGGGAAAATCCCTAATGCTTTAACCAAAAGTTTAAATATTGTGCGTCATCCTCCAAAACTGTCATAATTTATGGAAACCATCATCATGCCAAGACAATTCCTATCATAACATGTTGCATACAGCGGAACTCTATTAAAAAAAATGAATTCGAATCCCCTCAAGGCCACTGAGATGAGTACTCGACCGTAAACTTCAGCACCCCGTGGAATTAGTCGAGGTGCGTGCAAGTTGGTCCGGACATCTACGGTTATCAAAAAAAAAATAAAAAATGAGTGATGAACTTCCAATCTGAATAGGAGACCAGTTCTATGGGCATATAAACATGATGGGCTAGACGGAACCCTCTCCTTGTAACAAATTAGGTTCCAAATAATTATATTCTTCTGAATGCTCAACCTTGCTGTGAGCCAGCTCTAAATAATGCGTAAGTTTTACTGAAGAAAGAAATTCAATTGAATGAATGAAAATGAAGACACTGACCATTCCAGGAAATTGGTGCCTTCTCTCCTCGAATTTCTGATTCCTCTCTGCGTTTTCCTCTTCTGCAGAAAAAAGTACAATCGAAAAAAAATTATTCTTTCAGATATAGATACAAATACAAACACAGCGATGAGAGATAGGTACCGGAGGAATTCCCATCGGAGCCAGCGAAAAGCGAAGACGGCGAGAAAAGAGCAATGTCCATTCCGCCACCAGAGCCTCTATAGTTCTCTAACTCGAGTCAACAGTCAACACGGACGTAGAAAAACTGCGAAAAAGGAACTAACTTGTTACGCGCTTGTTTTTATATTTTTGGATTTTTATTTGCTAATTGTAACAATTTTTTTAATCAATATGTTAGATGAGTTCATATTTATATAGGGATTTTAACGAGAGATTCGCTCGTCAACTCGCCCATTGCACTAGTAAGTCGAGCAGCAAATCACCAAAATTAGTTCCCGAGCCAGGCGAACGAGACTCGCTCACAAGTAGCGGTGGATAAAAACTCGGAGGCTCGGACGGCTTGGGCTCGACTCGGAAAAAGCTCGAGCCGAGCCAGTCTCGGGCTCGGTTGCACCGAGCCGAGGCTCAGGCCGAGCCCCATTTTGGGGCATCGAGCCGAGCTCGGGCCGGCCCGTGTCAAGCAATTTTTATATAAAAAAAAATTGAAAATTGAAANTTGAAGTAGTGGTATATCTTTTGAAATAACAAATAACTAAAGATATAACTTTAATGAGAATATAAATATTTATCAACTTCCAACCCGTTCCATTAAAATCTAGTCACTTTTTCATAAAATTACACCCTTACAAGTTACAATGTCCTTTATTACTTACTTTTGCAATTTATATTTTAAAAAAAAACCCGAGTCAGGTCGGCCCGGGCTCAGCTTGGCTCGGGCCAGCCCGCTAAGGCTCGGGCAGAGCCTCATTTTTTTTTAGCCGGGCTCGACTTGTTGACACCGCTACTCACAAGCTTGCATTCTAGCTACAAAATATAATTCGCGGACTAAAGAAATAAAAAAGAGAGACGAGTAGCAAGGGGTCAAGATCCAACTCAGCTCGTCCAATTTAACACAACCGTCTAAATAATTAGCATTGCTCGGATATAATTCTGCAATTTGCTCATTAAAAATATACACATGAATATATGAAGGGTTGCATTTTACGCAACTGTATTAATTAGAGAATATATGACGCACGCATATATGTAATTAATTTATCGAAGATGGAAAACGATCTACTAATTATTGATGTTTAGTTTATTTTTAACATAGTTGTCAGATTCGACCCCGGACAATGCAACAGGTCAATAAGTTAGTGGTTCAACCGGTGACCCCGTAGGTTCAACCGACAGGTCATTGCATAAAAACCTACAAAAAAATATAAAGAATAAATTTTTTTTAGGGGAAATTAAAATTTTTAATTTATTTTTTACTAATTATTTAGGTCTATAAAATAATGTAAAAGGTTTGACCAAAATTTTTAAAAAATACATATTTTATAAAAGTTATAAATTATTCATTAGATAGATATAAGTTATTGCACGCAAATATTATTAAAGTATTTTAGTTCAAGTGGTGAAGAATTCATTATTTTTTCTTAGAGGTCCAATATTCAATTCCCTTGAATCCAAAAATTTTGTAAGAGATTTCTAAAACCCAATCAAACCGGTCAACCGAGCCGGGTAAATCATCAGTTAACTCGGTCAAAATCGGGTTTTGACCGAGTCAAGTATATTTCTATAAAATTACTTTGCCCGACCCGATAAAGGGTTCAGGCCGACCGACCGACCGGGCCGGTTTTTATAACTATGCTTCTATTACTTGCTACAATTCCTTCGACTTCAAAAAAAAAAAAAAAAAATCCAATTACATTATTTTATTAAATTTTTTTCATTTTCTCCGAGTATCTTTTTTGTTCTATTTCATTTTCCTTCAGATAAATCTAAAACTTCAGAGTATATCTTCCCACCGGTGAAAGGAAAAAAGATACTTCGAATATTTTTTTTTTTTATTGAGTTTAATCTCTTAAAAAGAGAGAATTTCCTATTTTTTCCTTAAAAAAGGAAAGTCTCTCTCTTGCATCCATTCTCCATTACACTGTCGGAAAAAAGATATCGGATGCAGCGATATAGAAATGTTTAGTACATGAAGCCATGATCTAATAGATATATTTAGATTGATATAATTTCATCTTGATCTGGAATCAAAGAAAGATAATGGAAATGACTCTTATCTTGTGACTTGGGAGAAAGGTTTCTCTTTAAGGAAGGGAATAACAATTTATTCATACAGAAAATCTAGGAAAAAGAAGATTTAATTGGAAATATCGACAAATTCTTTCAAGGTCCAAAAAAATGAAATAAAAAAAGGTGGTCCACTATTCCAATTCTAATTTCATCTTTATCGAATTTATATCATAATGGCGGATATAGTCATAATTCAATAGGTCAGGTCCACTTACTTTTTCTTTTGTTGATTTCGAATCTTTCCAATGGATTTGATTGTTATAATGTAACATAGGGATCTTTGATGATTCAAGAGGTGGCTTATCATTATTCATAATAATAAGAATTGATGAACTTCATGGCATTAAAATGGGCTTGGACAACAATTTATTCCTCTCGAATGATTATACAATAATATATAGTCCATATCTCGTATGGATTAAAATTTTAATCTAAGTCTTAATAATTAATTTTAACCATATATGATCACAAGTTTCCAATCACGTATTTCATTATTTTTATCAAAATTTATTAAAAATTTAATTTTAATCCCTACCAATGGGGCATATTGTAATATTTGTTTAGGAATATAATTGGGGTATATAATTCCTTTCAAAGAATGTTTTTGAGTATATAATTATATAAATATACAATATATTATTAGTGAAGTCTTAATTAAGGACTTACCCAGCCTTAAAAATTGAAGATTTTTAAGAGGAAATTAGGCCCAGACATTTAAGTTTGAAAATTGATTAATACAACAATATTTTGTTTTTTTCATATACCTTTAATATAACAGTAGATTATACGTTCAGCCCAAAACCAAACCCCGTTAGGACGTTGTGGTATGGGGTGTCCAATTTTTTGCCGTATTTCCTCAATTCCATATTTCATTGCAAGCCAAACTTGATCCACGTTTAACTAACAGACCCTAATCCACTCATTACTGCCAGATGACCAGAAGTGATGAAATCAAATGAGATTCAGCCCCATCGATCATCACCATCGGCACCATTAGAGATGCATGGACCTATGGGTGAAAAAGGCGATAGCAGTGTTCATGAATTAAAGGGAAGGAAAAAAAGTGCTATACAGTTAAAGGATCTTCAATGAAAAAAAGAAATCTTGCTCCATAAGCTTGGGAATCTAAGGTTAAGCTCTATTTGCTTATTTACAAATCTGTTTATGGCTTTGAATGTCACTTTGAATTGCTCTATTGTGCTCAATCGTCTATTGAAAATCTAGACTGGTGCTCTTGTCGATTGATTTAGTTTTCAAAAAAGTAAAAAGAATGATTGTATAAAGATGTAACTTATTCTTTTTCAAATGGAGATTTTTCATGTTGTATAAAGATGTTTATTGTTCCTGTTTTGTTTTGCCATTTCTTTTCATTCTTGTTTTGGCATGTCCAGTTATGCTGTGGAGTGAAGGCTGTTTGATTTTTCTAACCCATTCCGTACCACTTTAAATTTACAATTCTCATTGATTATGTTATAAAACTATTATCTGACCAATCGTGCTTTTTTCCTTTTACTTTTTTGTAGGATTGGGAGCTATTGATGCCCCATGATTATTGGTTTCCTTACAAAGTCACATTGTGTTAAAGATTAGAAAAACATGTTAAAGATTATTGATGATGTTATAAAACTAATATTGATTTGAAAAAAATAGTTACACGTGCTCGATTGATTAACCATCATTGTTTTCCCTACTTGAAGATTTCTGTCAAATGTCTTGATTATAGTTGGTGTTCAATATTATTTGTCATTTTTTTTAATATTAATAACTTTTTTTAATTATTGTCACTTATTGAATAACTTTCAAATCCAAATTAACATGTTAGTTAATAGAAGTGAAAACATAATCACAAATAAAATAAAATAAAATAGAATCAACCATCCCCTAGATATTTGCTAAGGTTTTGATTGGTGTTAAATATTATTTGTCACTTTTTTGAATGTCTGTTACTTTTGAAGCGTTCGTCACTTTTTTGATTTTTTTGTCACTTTTTTTTAATTGTTTGTTACTTTAAAAAAAAAATTATTATTATTACTTTTTTTTAATAACAGATAGAGGTTTTGATTGATGTTTCGCTTTTGAGTTGGTCACTTCGTTGAATTTTTATGACTTTTTTGAGTGTTTCTTAATTTTTTTAATAGCGTATTACTTTTTTCAAATTTTTGTCACTTTCTTTATTTGTTACTTTTTTTAATTTTTGTCACTTTTTTAGTGACAATATCATTTTTTAATAAAGTGACATTGTCCGTTGTTGCGCTTTTTATATCGCAAGTGTACGATATCATAACAAGTAATATAATAGACCTTTAAGTCCAGATTATCATTCCCACAAGGACTATACTTTGGATTTAATCTAATTTTTCTAACTCTTATTTGATGAAAGCAAGCAAAGAATTATAAGTTGTTGTGATTTTTTGGTTTAAACACTTCAAATTAATCAAAATACACACGAAGATCGATTTAGAATTCAAATAATGAACATATATTATGGCAGAACAATTTCACCTATTGATCACCTTTAAATCTTAATTTGAGATTTAAAAGTCTAATGTAGTGTTCGATCGAATTCATTTATTATATTCAATTTACTAATCATGAGTTCTCATTGAGCATATTTAATTAACTCAATCTCATATATCATGATCACAATAATTAGTATATGTATTTCTACACGTTCTACTATTTTACTAAATTTTACTATATGGTTTAAATCTCAAACTCACATCACGATTCGTAAAAGATTCACAAAATCATTAAATTAATGATCAAGTAATTCAATGTATTAAACTCAAAACAAAATCAACACATGTAAGATAAAATAACAAGAATCTTGAATAAGAAATAAATGGTTCCAAGTGGATCATATTGTTCGTCATAATATGAAATTTAGCCACTCATAATGTAACAAGAAAAATAAGAAGTTGTTATTGAATACATTAACGAATTTTGAATAAAGAT